TTTAAGACAGAATCTCACTTTGTCACCCTTGGTAGAGTGTGATGGCATCATAGCTTACAGCAACCTCAGACTCTTGGGCTCAAGGGATTCTCTCGCTTCAGCCTCCCCACTTGCTGGGACTACAGGCACCTGTGGCAATACCCGGCTATTTTTAGAGGCAGGTCTCGCTCTGGCTCAGGCTGGTGGCTAACCTGTGAGCTCAGGCAATCCACCTGCCTAGACCTCCCAAAATGCTAGGATTACTGGCGTGAGCCACCACGCCGGGTCTCTATTGCCAAGATTTCTAGGCAATATTTAGCAATCTTGGCTAACAAAGCCATGAAGCACCATCATATAGCAGCTTCAAAAAGTACTAGCAGGCCAGGTAAGGTGCGTCATGCCTGTGATCCTCGCACTCTGGGAGGCCGAGGTGGGCAGATCATCTGAGCTCAGGGGGTTGAGACCAGCCTGAGTAAGAGTGAGACCCTATCTCTAAAAAACAGCTGGGCATTGTGGTGGGCGCCTATAGTCCCAGCTACTCAAGAGGCCAAGGAAAAAGAATCACTTGAGCCCAAGAGTTTGAGGTTGCTGTGAATTGTGACACCAAGGCACTCATGGGAGGGTGACGAAGTAAAACTCCATCTCAAAAAAAAAAAAAAAAAAGTAGTAGCAATCCCTGAAATGTCACATATGACCCATTCTGCTTTTCAGTACATATATTAACTTGATAAGCAAGACAAACTCATACTGTGTATTGTTGGGGTCAGTGCATGGGAATCCCGATCCTGGGGAGACTACTCAGCACCAGTTGTAAGGCACTGGAGGATGCCTGGAGACAGCTTAGGCTGGGTAGACTAAGATAAAGCACTCCTGAGATAACGCAGCGCCTTTCTGGCTTCTTCAGAAAGTCTTTATTAGTTTTTAACAAAGGTACACATGCAAAAGATAGGGTTGAAAGAATCCCAAGTTCCCTGGAAGACTGGATAGCAAAAGAGGAAGGGGGTTGGTAATGTAAATAGAGGGGAAGGGAGAAGCCAGTTCTGTTCAGGTAGGGGAAGTAAACCAGGTTTTCTAGTTTAACTATTAGAAAAGTTTAATCCCTCCCATCTCAAATGCCTGGGCCTAGTCCATCCTGACCAGGCAGGCAGGTGCCTCCACATTCTTTTCCTCTTTTGTGATTCTAAAGAACCCCCAGGAATTGCCGGGCTACAGGCGTTCTCCCTGGTTACCCTGGAACTGAGGCAGGGCACTCCACTGAGAAGTCAACCTAGCTACCTCCCACAGTGTATCATGTTTATTGATTTACTCCAAGATTATGCATATAATTAAGCCTCCCCCCCCC